GTCTTCCTACCATTATGGCCAAGTTGCGAAAACAAGGTCAAACAACTTCTATACAACGAAAGGAGACTGCAGCCACACAAAAGGCCACACATTCTTGGTCTTCATATCTTTGCTTATATATTATTCGATGCTATTACAAATATTTCCCATATATATCGATCTCAATATATTTATATAAATATACTTAGCAAAACCCGTTAGTCTGCCATTATCCAAAATAAAAATAACAACTATTATTAAAACAAATATTCAAAACTTATTTAATGAAATTCATATAATATTGTCCTTTTTCTTGTTTGTTTGATCCAACGAATTTTAAACGATATTTTTGTGTCCCTTTTTATTTTCTCTTCCCCTTCCCTATTCATCCTGTGATTGGTTGATTATTGATGAATATTTCTTCAACCTATCCTCTTCTTTTCTTTACTGTTTCTGTTATTCTTGCACGCAATTTTATTTCATTTGTGAAGCACCGTTTTTAGCATAATTTGCTCGTCGATATTGCATGATACTTTCTCTACATACCATTTTACTTTTTTTTATAGTTTAGGCTTAACACTTTGTTAATGAAGATCTTCACCTGATTTAATATTTAATTATGTCGTTAGTCGGTCTCCGTGAGCCCCTTCACCCTGGAACCCCTACTACTAGCACTATTCACCATTCCGCTACTATATCAACTACTTTGGGGCCTCCATTCATAACTGTTCTTGACGTTTATGACGTCGCTGCAGCTATAGGAAAAGATTTTGAAACAATAATTGATAAATATGGTCCCGATTCCATCACAAATCTTATGCCTAAGGTGATTAGTGTACTTGAAGAGCTAGAAGATTACGCCACGCGCTTCGAATCGGAAGACCGAGAAATTATTACGCTCCAAGCAGCTGTAGAGCGGTTAGAAGCTGAAAAAAATGAAAGAGCTGAGGACCAAAGCAGATATGAAAAAGTACAGATATTTAACTCATTTTCGCTTTAATGCAGTCTTAAATTCAAAAAGTACTTTGCCTACCGAATTCTATTATATAATCTCATGTTTTTCCTTAAGTTTATAAGTACACTTTTGATTGCATTAAATAGAATGCAATGGACCAGATGCTTATTATAACGTCTGTTATTCTGAACAAACTTTTCACTAAATAGTTGTAAAACACTTATAATTCAATATTAACTTCACTGCTATTTTTATTGTAAGCCATAACTTATGCAATTATTTTTTAGCAAAGGTATTATTTAAATCTTGGCAGATTACTTTTCAAATCTAGTTGAAGCATTAAGTTGACATATTAGGAACTCATTAAAATGTA